TTCCTTATTAGAATATACTCCTACTCCCCCCTCAGGCCGGCAGATAGGGGCCGCATCCGGGTGGTCCCATCCTAACCTGTAAAAAACAATACAAAATCAACATTTTTCTTATTTTTTCCTCTCGACATGGACGTCCTGTCGTCCACGGCGATAATCCATTGCAAAAAATACCACAAAGAGCACACGCGCGCGTTCATGTCAGAATCCTACCGAACACCGTGTGTTTGCAAGCATTTCAACATAAAAACATCAAAAACCCAATGCTTTTTCACAAAAATTGTACAAATTTCCCGCCCGGGCTCTCTTGCTGAAATCATAGGAAAACCATAGGAATCTTAAGAATTCGGTCAAATCCAGCGATTTCACGTCATCGCGCGGTGCACTCGCGATGCTCTGTCATGCACCCAGGCCGCGAATCCTGTGCAAAAAATACCACAAAGAGCACACTCGCGCGTTCATGTCAGAATCCTACCGAACACCGTGTGTTTGCAAGCATTTCAACATAAAAACATCAAAAACCCAATGCTTTTTCACAAAAATGCTTTGGGGTGTCCTGTCAGACCGTCGGGCTTCCTCCGGCCACCTCTGGCTTCCTGCGGTGTACCGGGCCATTCTCGACTCGTCTGGCAATGCGTGCGCGGCATTCAACACGCGCTCGCCAGTTCCCGTCGGCAACCGCCATCGCGGCCGCATCAGCTGTACCAAACCGGCTGGCCGGTGTGACTTCGGCCCCCAGTTGTGCCAGCTTTGCTTCTTATGTTGTGGGAGGGCGGGTGGGACTGGGCATGCCATGCTTGACTCGCTCGAGCTGGCTAGCTTGACTCCTACTCCTACTCCTACTCCTAACTCCTCCTCCTCCTCACCTCTGGGTGTCGAGCACAGGTGCCGAGCCTCCGGACCGAGCACAGGCCCCCCACCTTTCCTTACCATCTCACCCCCCCCTCCCGGGCGGGTGGTGCCGAGCACAGGTGCCGGCCCCTGGGCCGAGCACATGTGCGGAGCACTGTCGGTGGCCGCGGTGGCCGAGCACATGTGCCGAGCATCTGGGCCGAGCACAGGTGCCGAGCACTGCCCCCACCCTCCCCCTTCCCCTCTTCCCCCCCCCCAGGCGGTTGGTGCCGAGCAAGGTGCCGAGCGCCCAGGCCGAGCGCAGGTGACTATAGTACAGCCCTCCCCGCCCCCTCCCCTCCCTGGGCCGGTGGTGCCGAGCACAGGCGCCGAGCCCCAGGGCAGAGCACAGGTGCCGAGCACAGGTGCCGAGCACAGCCGTTGGCGGAGGTACCAAGCACGGATCCGAGCCTCGGGGCCGAGCACTGGTGCCGAACACACCTGCTGGCCAGAAGTACCGCGCAAAGGTGCCGAGCCTCTGGGCCGAGCACAGGTGCCGAGCACGGCCCCCCCTGACCCTCCGTCGTTCATTCCTTTCCTGCCCCCCTCTGCCCGTCCTCTCCCGTCCTTTCCCCCTCTTTCATACTTGCGTTTTTCATGATTCAAGTGAGGCCAACGAGATGCCGAGGCCAAGCTTACCCTTTGTTTCGACCGGGCTCCGGGACGCGTTCCTTTGCTGCGCCTCGCCGTGAGGTTTCATGGGCGATTCATGGGCGCGGGTGTTGTCGCACACGGCACTCTTTGGCTCGGATGGCCTGGGAGGCCGACTGAGTTGTTGCGCTGACGTGGCACAGCCTGCGGGCTGAAGGTTGGGCCCACGTGGAGCGCTTGATCACGTGCAGTGCAAACCACCTCTGCATGGAGGGCGTGAGCGTGAAGGTGACCGTGCTTGCTGCTGCTGTGGTTTCCCCCTCTGCCCTCCCCCGTCCTGGGGCGTGAAGGTACTTGCGCGGTGTGGTGACCTCCACCCTGCTCTTCCCCCTCCCCCCTGCACAGCCGCTTGTGTTCAGAACTTCTCGCGATGCCACCTGCGCGTGAGCGCTCCCAGAGCCGCAGCCACGGCCGACGGCGCAAGTCAGCCAGCAATGGCGCCCCGTGGCGCGGGCGCAACCGCAGCCGCCGTGGCGCCCGTGGAGGCCGCTAAGACAGGTCCAAGCACACCACCGCGTCGGAAGTCTACGGCCGCTCAGGCCCGCTCTCTGGCCGTGGGTTCGGCGCCCCTCCCTCCGCTGCTGACCAAGGCAGAGGCCAGACTAAACCGAAGACTGGCTCCGAGGGGCCGGCCACCGACGCGGCCGCCGGACCCGTTGGCGCGGCGCCGCCTGCCGCCCCCGCCCCCTTAAGAGCAACTATTCCTCCAGCAGCAGGTGCAGGCCTGGCTCCAATAACAAGCGCGCCTGCTGCTGAAGTAACAGCACCAGGCGCTCCACCAAGCGGCGCTCGCAGCGGAGCTAGCTGCGCCACCACGAGGGCCCTGCTGGACGGCGACGGGTTTGCAGGCGCTGGCGCCGCCTGCGGCCAGAACGAAAGGGGACGGCGCTGCCGGCGGGCCAATTGCGCCCTCGCTGGGCGACGGGTCTGGCACCGCCACCCGCCTCAGCCGCTGTCGCCACCGACTGGCGAGCGACGGCGCCGACAGCACCGACGCCCTCGGCACGGCTTGCTGCGGGAACGCTGCCTGGGAAGCCTTGCGCCGCCGCCGGGCCAACTGCGCCCTCGCCAGGAGGGGGGCCGGCACCGCCGCCAAAGCCTGGGCGCGCCACGGCGGCCGCGGCGGCCGCCGCACGGCCGGGCACGACGCCCGCAGCTACAGGAGCGCCCTGGGCAGGGCTTGCCGCAGGGGCGCACGTCGCAGCAGCAAAGCCGGCCCACAGCAGCCGCGGATGGGGCTCCGAAGGGCCCCGCCTGCGCTTGTGGGCTCGACCGCGCAGCGTGCGGGGCGTGGGGCAGGAGCTGGGCGCAGGTCCCCGCCGCCGCAGCCGCTGCCGCCTGGCAGGCGGCGGCGCCAGGCGGCGGCGCCGCGGAGGGCTTCGCGGACGCCGTCCAGGAGACTCTCGACCGCGTCGAGGCTGACGGGGCCGACCCGCGGGACGCAGTGGAGGCGGTCGCTGCGATCGTCCGGAGGGCGACCGCCGCCATCGAAAACGGTGCGCTGCATGGAACGGGCTCCGAGGCCGGGGCCCGGAAGACAGCAGGGGACCCGCGGCCTTCGGCGGAGGTGAAGGCCTTCAAGGCCAAGCTGGCCCAGGTCAGCTCGACGGCGACGCCGCCATGCGCCGGGCTCCAGCCCTCTTTAGAGGTCGAGTTCGAGGCGAAGGTCCGGTCCCTCCTGGAGATGGCGCTGCGCCTGGAGCGCTCCGGCACCGTCCAGGTCCGCGTCGAGACGGTCGAGCGCCAGGCCGGCAGGATCTTCCACAAGGCCCAGCCCGGGGAGTGGACGGCGAGCGAGGGCGGCGACATGCGGAAGTGGGTCTTGCGCCTGCGCATCCTGTCCAGGGCGACGAAGTGAATCATCACCAAGGTGAGCATCCAGGCCGATGTCTCGACTGGCGTCCTGGTCGCGAGTGGTATTCGTGCCAATTTTGAAGCGTACGCGGACAACTGGATCGCCGCCTTCGGCGCCGTGGCCCGGGTCAGCTCGCCGATCACGACGTACAACACCTGGCTCCATGCACGCCTTCCTCGCGCCCCTGAGGCCCCCGGAGGCGTAGAGGAGGGGGCGTTCCGCACATTTTTGCGCTGACTGCTTCTGGCACCGCCCGCTGTGGCTTGAGGCCGCTGTGGCCTCTCTCTCTCGCTCTCTCGCTCTTCTCCCCTCCTCTACAGGACTCTTGGATAAGCGACGGCATGCGCCCCGCCACGCGCGAGAGAATTACTTTCCACGCCCCGATCGTGCTGCCGCTGTGCTAGTGCTGCTGCTCCCCCCTCCTGCCCTCCTGCCCTCCTACCACCCCCCCTCTCCCCTGCTTCCCTGGTCGGTCGTCGCCTCCTGCCTCCCTCTCCCCGTCGTTTCCTGGGGTCCCGTGAAGGTACCCGCGGCCCAGCGTCGCCAGGTTTGGCCACTGAAGCCGGCGCGCATTTTCCTCCCCTTCCCTCGTCCATCCTCGGTGGCCTCTGGGAGTCCCCGCGTTGTCCCTGGGGCCCAGCGCTGTCGGCGGCGCCTTTGGGCGTCCGCTCCGCCGCGGCCGTCGAGCCGGATCTATTGTCGAGCCCTGGCTTGGGTCGGGTCGCTCCCTGCCCGCTGGTTTCGGCCGCCGCAGCCGTCGTCGTCGTCAGTCGTCGTCGTCGTGGTCATCGTCGTCGTCGTCGTCGTCGTCGTTTTCGTCGCCGCCGCCGCCGCCAACGCCGTCGTGGTCGTCGTCGTCGTCGCCGTCGTCGTCGTCTTCTTCGGCCCCGCCCGCAGGATCTTCCATTTCGGGGCCTCACCGGTTACCTTGTGTGCTTCTTTCCCCGCGCCATGCGGTACGGGCAATCCCCCTCTCCCCCTGCCCCTACTCCCCTCCCCCCCAGGAACAGAGATGCCAAGCGCAAGTGCCGAGCTTCCGGGCCGAGCGCAAGTGCCGAGCATGCGCACGGGCCCCTCTTCCCTTTCTCCCCATTCCTCCCTTCCGTGCTGCCCCCCTGCCCTCCTGTCCCGGAGCGGGAACGCTAGCTGTGGGAACCCCGTGCCAGTGACCTCCGACGGCCTCCGGAGGGCTCCGAAAGGTCGCCGCCCTCGTTCTGGCTGGAGCTCCCCCTCGCTCGATCCTCCGTGTCGGCGAGGTTAGTCCCAGCTCGAACTTTGTTCGCTCTGCCGAAACCTCGATGGCTCCTCTACCCCGCTGCTGCTGCTGTGGGGGAGGGAAGCCGCCTTTATCGTTCGAGCCCAAGCGCCGGCGCTGCATACACTCATGTTAGTTACTTGCAACATCCTAGACTCCCAGGGCAAGTCCTCCAGGAATTTTCAGAAATCACACTCATATTATTTTCTCTAACTAAGCGTGACACGCAGCAGCGTGCGCTGGGCCTAGCACCCAGTTCAACGGCAAATAGAGGCAGGCGTCGCGTCAAACAGCGCAAGACCGTGCCAGTCGCCAAAATGGCGTCTTCGTCGCACACGGCGTAGTGGTCCCTCACGTATCCGTCGAGCTCGCACCCTTGCTCGACTCACTGGCCTCCATCCTCTCGTACATGTCACGGAGGCGGATGGCCTTCATCTCGACTTTGATATCCTTCTCCTTGCTGGTCCGCAAGGTCTTCTCGATCTCGCGGTACTCCTTCTCTCGCTTCCACCACGTCGTGTCCGTGCCCACCAGCAGCATGCCGCACTGCAGGCACCGGAGCTTGTTTTTGGACTGGTTGCTTCCTTGTGTAGTCGTCACATTGTGCTCGCAGTCGCCTATGCGTTCTCGTGCCGTCTGCTTGCCCTTGGGCTTGCCCTTGGCCTTGCTCGTGGATTCGTGCGTCTCGAACTCGCTGCTCTTGGCTCCCCGCTGCACGGAGGCGTAGGTCTTCTTTCCTCGACGACACTCGTCGCAGTTCTTGACCACCAGCTCGTACGCCTCGAGAACACCTTCCTCGATCACGTCGCCGAACTCGTCCGCGATCGTCTCGTACGATGAGTGTCCGGTTCTCTCGTGTAGCGCGCGAGCCTTCAGCGTCTCTTTCTTCGTCGGGGTCGTAGACTCCTTGCGTTGGCGCGGCACCTTCTGCCAGGCCCCTGCCTCCTCATCGCCATCATCTTCGTCACCCGGTACAGCAGGCAGGTCGTCGGCACGCGTCGAGGTAGACGCCCGATGGGGCTTCTTGCGTGCCCCCGGTCCGCACTCGCACTGGCCCAGCGTCATCCGACACAACGCACATACCGTCACCGCTGCCGCTGCAGCGGCGCCTGACTTGATCTCCTCGGACTCGGCACCCGCAGCGTCCATCATGTAGATCTCCGCAACGTCGGTGTTATCCTCCTTCACGTTCCCGTTCGACTCAACGTACGCACTCAACTCCTCAGTGTCACCTGGCTCCTCCTTGGGGTCTTCATCGATCGTCACCTTCGGCTTCTTGATGGTGTGCTTCTCCGTGAAGTCCTTCTCGTAGCTCTCGAGCGCCGCCTTGGTCGGTGCGTAGATCGTCAGCAGTTTCCGCACCTGGGTCGGGATCCTCCGACGTTTTGACACCTGGTCTCATCCAGACCAGTCAACCATGTCCTCGAGCTTCTCGTAGTAGATGTCGTCCTCGCGCTGTCCAAGCATCATCCGCCAACGGAGGTACGGCTTCGGAGCAGGCTGAGCCACGCGCGCATTGCACCTCACATCCGCAATGCACTCCTCGAAGTAGGTGTAGCCTTCGTGAACGAAGAGCTGGTCAGCAGGCCGCTGCCTCTCGGGATACTTCGAGCGGTAAAATTCACCCCTGCGTCCCTTGAGCTCCATCCTCTGCTTGGCGATGACCTGGTCCGCCATGAGATCCTCCGTCAGCCGGCACTCGCCGGTCTGGAGCACATACCTCATGTAGTCGCCAGCGCGGACGTCGTGCTTGGTTAGGCAGTCGGCGAGCATCTGCTTCGTGCTCACCCACTTGCTCACCACGTTGTTGAACTCCAGGTCGTTCCTGAGCGATTCGATATCGATCAGTAGCCGCTTCTCGGAGGGCACCGTCCCTCGCTTCTGGAGCAGGTCGCACAGTGACTTACAGTCCGTGACTTCCACCATCTTGATCGCCGTCACGTCGTCCATTTGGGTCCGGTAGCCGAGTCCATAGTGCAGCTCCACCAGGTGCTGCCTCAGCATGTCGCCACTCTCGACCGCCTCCAGCGCCGCCATCGTCTCGGCCGCCAGGGTACTGCGCACCACCCGCTTGATACGGTGCGACCGCCACAACATGGGAGTGACCTTGGCAGGCATCCCGCGGAGGAACTGATCGTCCTTGTCTGCTAGCAGGATGACCAGGCCCGCCTGACTCGCGGTCTTCGTCTTGCCCACGTTGCCGTGGCTCGAGTCTCCAACCGCAACCACGATCGCGTCGTCTATGTTGATCTTCTGGAAAGTGATGTCCACGTGGTCCGTCTTGGCATCGCTCACCAGCTTGTTGAAGTCCAACAGATCCTGAACCTTCAGGTCGCTGTCGTGGGCCCTCGCTTGACTCTCCACCAGTCGGAATGCCAAGTCCATACGGGTAGATCGCACCAGCCACTGGATCTGGCCGTTGCCGCTGTGGAGCATCGCCCTCTCCTCGGGTGTAGCCTGCGCTTCCTTGTCCTTGCGACGCTCGTTGGAGATCGGAATATTCTCGATGCTCTCGGTGTACTCCCTCTGGCTGCAGGTGATGGTGCCGTCATCTCTCTGCTTGGGGAATCTCCCGCAGTGGTGGAAGCCGGTCTTCGTCGTCTGCCACTTGCCGTAGCAGTGCATCTTCCTCAGCTTGGTCACCTGGTTAGCGAAGAACTCGGGCGAGCCCGCTACCAAATCGTCGTCCACGCGCGCCCCGATCAGGCCGATCAGCTTCTCATTCTCGTCTTGGAAGATGAAGACAGCCGGGCACAACTTCGATCTCGACGCTCCTAGAAACGACAGCATTGTGTCGCGATGCTCCTCGTACCACAACAGAGGTGCATCATTCAGCCCGTAGATCCCCGTCTTCGCTCTCAGCACCGTACCTTCTGGAATGGCTGGCCAGCCCAACTCCGGTACAGCTGGCAGGCCACCCTTCGGCGCGCGGAAGTATACGCGTCGAGAGCTGTCGAGGTACTTCCCGTTCAGAAATGCCGAGTCGACGCCGCCCTGTTCCAGCCTCCAGCCCAACTGGCTTGCGGCCTCCTGCAGGATCACCGCCGTGGCCGTGTCCGTCAGAGCGGGGGCGTTGGTCTGCAACTCGCCAGCAAGCAGCTGCTTGCCCTTGTATCCTGGAACGATGTTCCGAGACTTCGCCTTGAGCGGGTGCTGCTCGCACGACAGGTTGCCCCTCGTCGCTGCGTTCTTGTACGTGCGAACGCGCCTCATGGGCAGGATCGCCGTCTTGTCCACCCCCGCGAGCTCCTCCTCGGTCGGCCAGTCCACTGCGTCGTACTCGACCCACTTGCGCCACTCCTCCAGGTCGCTCGCGTCGAAAGCCGCCTTCCACTCCTGGGGAATGCTGCGGATCTCCCGACCCTTCTTGGGAGTGACCTGCTTCTTCGTCGTCTCGGTCCTCCGGGACAGAAACGCGTCCCTCTGGCGATTCTTGACCTTGACGAATAGTGCCTCCTGATCCATTGGGTGTCTGGTACCTTCGGCAGTCGCATGGAGCTGCCCTTGAGAGCCTCGCGTCGTAGTCGTAGGCGTTCGCGATCTGCCTCCTGGTCGTCGGGAAGCGTTCGCTTGTAACTGAGTCGCGGTGCAGGTTCTGGTTGCTCAGCTCGCTCTGGTTGCTGTTGATGCGGAATACCTGGCGCAGCCACCGCGTCCAGGTCCATGGAGTGCCCCTGCCCAGCTGCCGCAGCAGGTGGGTCTGTAGCTTGCTCTGGAGGAGACGGTCCTCCTCCCGGTAGTGGTGGTACTTCAGGTAGGTCTCCAAGTGCAGGTACGTTCTCCTCCTCACGCTCCTTCTTCGGTGTCGCCTCGACCACTGGCCGTGGCGGTGGTGGAGCAGGCTCGGCACGCGGTGCCTTAGCCGTAGGTGTGTCGATCACGCCGTCCTCGTGGTCCGGGTCCTTCTCGTCCCTCTCGCGGCGCACGCCCGTCTTGTCGCTCCCATCTGGCCCAGGTCCACGCTGATCGATGAACCCCTTCTGTGGCGTAGGTCCACCACGCCAGTGAGAGAGCTGCCTGACCAAGTCCTCGTTCTCCACCATCTCCGCCTCGCTGCGGGAGGCGTGTCGCACCTGCTCTGGCGTCGCGAGCACCGGCACCCCTCGGTAGCTGAGGTGCAGCCTCGTGTGGCCTTCGGTCACCAACACGATCGCTGGCCCACGCCAACCGTGCTCGCCCTGGAGCCTCTTCGACTTCACGTGCTTCACCTCGCGCCAGTAGAACACCAGCTGGCCCGGCACGAATGGTCCACGCGGTGGACGAACTCGGCCAACCATGGCCCTCCTGACGACGTCATCGCTGCCCAGCTCGAAGAACGCCCGGTTCGCCGCCGCACGTATCTGCTCTGCTCTCCTCGGGCCCTCCTCGAAGAGAGCTGCGCTCTGTGATGCCAGCTGCCTCTGGTCGCCCTCCATCGCCTCGGTCAGCGAGGCCGGGATGCCAGGCGACCTGCCCAGCACGTATTGGTAGGGGGTGAAGCCGTTCCTCCGAATGTGGTTGTTGCACGTGCTCGCTATCACCGATGTCCACGCATGCGGATCGTCGTCCTTGGTGAGCTGCACGTCGCGGTTCAGGCGCTGGAAGTGGTCCTTGAAGAAGTCGATCGCGCGCTCCACTCGACCCTTGAGCTGGGGCGCCTCTGCTGGGGCCGGCCTCATCAGGATAGTGTACTTCTCTCCGATCTCTGCGAACCTCTCCGATACTGCCCCCACCCTCCCCCTTCCCCTCTTCCCCCCCCCCAGGCGGTTGGTGCCGAGCAAGGTGCCGAGCGCCCAGGCCGAGCGCAGGTGACTATAGTACAGCCCTCCCCGCCCCCCCCCCTCCCTGGGCCGGTGGTGCCGAGCACAGGCGCCGAGCCCCAGGGCAGAGCCCAGGTGCCGAGCACAGGTGCCGAGCACAGCCGTTGGCGGAGGTACCAAGCACGGATCCGAGCCTCGGGGCCGAGCACTGGTGCCGAACACACCTGCTGGCCAGAAGTACCGCGCAAAGGTGCCCCTTGAGCTCCATCCTCTGCTTGGCGATGACCTGGTCCGCCATGAGATCCTCCGTCAGCCGGCACTCGCCGGTCTGGAGCACATACCTCATGTAGTCGCCAGCGCGGACGTCGTGCTTGGTTAGGCAGTCGGCGAGCATCTGCTTCGTGCTCACCCACTTGCTCACCACGTTGTTGAACTCCAGGTCGTTCCTGAGCGATTCGATATCGATCAGTAGCCGCTTCTCGGAGGGCACCGTCCCTCGCTTCTGGAGCAGGTCGCACAGTGACTTACAGTCCGTGACTTCCACCATCTTGATCGCCGTCACGTCGTCCATTTGGGTCCGGTAGCCGAGTCCATAGTGCAGCTCCACCAGGTGCTGCCTCAGCATGTCGCCACTCTCGACCGCCTCCAGCGCCGCCATCGTCTCGGCCGCCAGGGTACTGCGCACCACCCGCTTGATACGGTGCGACCGCCACAACATGGGAGTGACCTTGGCAGGCATCCCGCGGAGGAACTGATCGTCCTTGTCTGCTAGCAGGATGACCAGGCCCGCCTGACTCGCGGTCTTCGTCTTGCCCACGTTGCCGTGGCTCGAGTCTCCAACCGCAACCACGATCGCGTCGTCTATGTTGATCTTCTGGAAAGTGATGTCCACGTGGTCCGTCTTGGCATCGCTCACCAGCTTGTTGAAGTCCAACAGATCCTGAACCTTCAGGTCGCTGTCGTGGGCCCTCGCTTGACTCTCCACCAGTCGGAATGCCAAGTCCATACGGGTAGATCGCACCAGCCACTGGATCTGGCCGTTGCCGCTGTGGAGCATCGCCCTCTCCTCGGGTGTAGCCTGCGCTTCCTTGTCCTTGCGACGCTCGTTGGAGATCGGAATATTCTCGATGCTCTCGGTGTACTCCCTCTGGCTGCAGGTGATGGTGCCGTCATCTCTCTGCTTGGGGAATCTCCCGCAGTGGTGGAAGCCGGTCTTCGTCGTCTGCCACTTGCCGTAGCAGTGCATCTTCCTCAGCTTGGTCACCTGGTTAGCGAAGAACTCGGGCGAGCCCGCTACCAAATCGTCGTCCACGCGCGCCCCGATCAGGCCGATCAGCTTCTCATTCTCGTCTTGGAAGATGAAGACAGCCGGGCACAACTTCGATCTCGACGCTCCTAGAAACGACAGCATTGTGTCGCGATGCTCCTCGTACCACAACAGAGGTGCATCATTCAGCCCGTAGATCCCCTTCTTCGCTCTCAGCACCGTACCTTCTGGAATGGCTGGCCAGCCCAACTCCGGTACAGCTGGCAGGCCACCCTTCGGCGCGCGGAAGTATACGCGTCGAGAGCTGTCGAGGTACTTCCCGTTCAGAAATGCCGAGTCGACGCCGCCCTGTTCCAGCCTCCAGCCCAACTGGCTAGCGGCCTCCTGCAGGATCACCGCCGTGGCCGTGTCCGTCAGAGCGGGGGCGTTGGTCTGCAACTCGCCAGCAAGCAGCTGCTTGCCCTTGTATCCTGGAACGATGTTCCGAGACTTCGCCTTGAGCGGGTGCTGCTCGCACGACAGGTTGCCCCTCGTCGCTGCGTTCTTGTACGTGCGAACGCGCCTCATGGGCAGGATCGCCGTCTTGTCCACCCCCGCGAGCTCCTCCTCGGTCGGCCAGTCCACTGCGTCGTACTCGACCCACTTGCGCCACTCCTCCAGGTCGCTCGCGTCGAAAGCCGCCTTCCACTCCTGGGGAATGCTGCGGATCTCCCGACCCTTCTTGGGAGTGACCTGCTTCTTCGTCGTCTCGGTCCTCCGGGACAGAAACGCGTCCCTCTGGCGATTCTTGACCTTGACGAATAGTGCCTCCTGATCCATTGGGTGTCTGGTACCTTCGGCAGTCGCATGGAGCTGCCCTTGAGAGCCTCGCGTCGTAGTCGTAGGCGTTCGCGATCTGCCTCCTGGTCGTCGGGAAGCGTTCGCTTGTAACTGAGTCGCGGTGCAGGTTCTGGTTGCTCAGCTCGCTCTGGTTGCTGTTGATGCGGAATACCTGGCGCAGCCACCGCGTCCAGGTCCATGGAGTGCCCCTGCCCAGCTGCCGCAGCAGGTGGGTCTGTAGCTTGCTCTGGAGGAGACGGTCCTCCTCCCGGTAGTGGTGGTACTTCAGGTAGGTCTCCAAGTGCAGGTACGTTCTCCTCCTCACGCTCCTTCTTCGGTGTCGCCTCGACCACTGGCCGTGGCGGTGGTGGAGCAGGCTCGGCACGCGGTGCCTTAGCCGTAGGTGTGTCGATCACGCCGTCCTCGTGGTCCGGGTCCTTCTCGCCCCTCTCGCGGCGCACGCCCGTCTTGTCGCTCCCATCTGGCCCAGGTCCACGCTGATCGATGAACCCCTTCTGTGGCGTAGGTCCACCACGCCAGTGAGAGAGCTGCCTGACCAAGTCCTCGTTCTCCACCATCTCCGCCTCGCTGCGGGAGGCGTGTCGCACCTGCTCTGGCGTCGCGAGCACCGGCACCCCTCGGTAGCTGAGGTGCAGCCTCGCGTGGCCTTCGGTCACCAACACGATCGCTGGCCCACGCCAACCGTGCTCGCCCTGGAGCCTCTTCGACTTCACGTGCTTCACCTCGCGCAAGTAGAACACCAGCTGGCCCGGCACGAATGGTCCACGCGGTGGACGAACTCGGCCAACCATGGCCCTCCTGACGACGTCATCGCTGCCCAGCTCGAAGAACGCCCGGTTCGCCGCCGCACGTATCTGCTCTGCTCTCCTCGGGCCCTCCTCGAAGAGAGCTGCGCTCTGTGATGCCAGCTGCCTCTGGTCGCCCTCCATCGCCTCGGTCAGCGAGGCCGGGATGCCAGGCGACCTGCCCAGCACGTATTGGTAGGGGGTGAAGCCGTTCCTCCGAATGTGGTTGTTGCACGTGCTCGCTATCACCGATGTCCACACATGCGGATCGTCGTCCTTGGTGAGCTGCACGTCGCGGTTCAGGCGCTGGAAGTGGTCCTTGAAGAAGTCGATCGCGCGCTCCACTCGACCCTTGAGCTGGGGCGCCTCTGCTGGGGCCGGCCTCATCAGGATAGTGTACTTCTCTCCGATCTCTGCGAACCGCTTCGCGATGTGACCCTTGGCCGCGTCGTAGTACAGCACCTTGGGTGGTTCAGCCCACGATAGCCAGCCTTGCGAAAAGCATCGCAGGCTCTCTTCACCTGTGATGGACCTCGCTGCAGTAGTAGGGATGATCACCCGGAAATCCGACGCGTCGTCCAGAATCACCTTAACCATCAGTCGGGTCCCGTCTGCTAGAATCACCTCGGCTTCGTCTAGAAACACGTTCTCATTGAATTCCGTCGAGAGCTTCAGGTTAGAGCTTCTCACCGTAGTCGGCCTGCCGAGCTCCTTGCACACGCCGCAGTCCAGCTTGTCAACCGCATCCAGCACTTGCTGCGACGCTCCGTAGGACTTCAGCCGACGCTTCAGTGCGTGAGCGGAGGGGTGGCTCAGGTTGAGGTGGGGCTTCTTGAGAGCGCCCCACTGGGCCGCGGCGATGTCCGAAGGCTTATCCCCGAAACTCTCGCCCTCATGTTGTAGGTCTCGATGTGCCGTGTCAGCTTCACGATCATCTGGAGCAAAGGTCTTGGGCTTGCTCCCGTAGATGCGCACCGTCGCAGGGAAGGACGTCTGCACCTTCGGCTCCTTCACGTAAGCTGCGATCACCGTGTCGGTGGGGAACCGCTTGACCAGCTTGATCGCCCCGAAGCCCGGGTCGCCCGCGTAGGCGTCGCTGTAGTCCGCCAGTGCGCCCTCGCTGGAGTACATCGCGCAGAGTCGCCGCGCTGCCCCGCGAGGGGGCGGAACCTCCTCGTCACCCGCCAACGCGCGCACGTCGATCAGATCTTTCCTTAGCTTGAACGCCTTGGCCACTGCATTCGCGATCTGCTTGCTCGGGGGCCTCGCCGCGCCGCTGCCGATGCCCATCTCCTTCGGGCTTGTCCGTCGTACCAGCTCGTGCGTGCCGGCGCCCGCCAGAGCCTTGCCCAGGTCGTCCGGCCAGGCGCCCGCTTGTGCCAGCGCCGTACTCCGCCCGACCATGTCGGCGCGCTGGTGGCCCCCGTCGCACCTGCGCTCGAGCCGCCCAGAGAAGCACGAGCCGTTGGGCACCACCCATGCACGTCGGCTTGCGAATCGGGTCGCCGTAGTTGTCCACGAGCCCGTACATGCACTGGTGTAGCGTGACCGTCTCGTAGAGTGGCGGCTGGTTCCCGCGCCAGCTCAGCAAGTCTACGATCGAGGCTTCACGCCACGCCCGGCTGGGGTTCTCGCCGATGCCGATCCGTCCCCCCTGAGCCTGAATCTTGAGCACCTCCGCCGAAAAGTCGATCAGTGGCCGACAGTCCTGGATGAGGTCGTCCACCCTGTCGCCCATGCCCTGGGCACGCTGCAACTCTTGCATGTTCGCGCGAGCGGTGCACGGGAATGCGACCGAAACCATCCAGGGCTTGAAGGTCCTAATCAGAAACAGAAAATCTGATCGTGTCCGAGGGTCGTTAAAGTTCACGCCAACTGATAGGTCCGAGGGGGTCGCATTCGCGTGACCACCCTTTCGAAGCTACGTGAGTAAAGCGAGCCTCCTTCGCGAACAACTCCCAGAGAAACGTCTCGTTGTTGTCCCGCAGTACATCGAATATAACCGCATACTCCATCATAAGCTTGTCGATCCGCTTGAGCGCACCCTTCTTGAAGATCCCCTTGCTACCGTTTTTCGTTGCATTCTGGACCCACCGATCGGCGTCGTCCTGGACCCTGAAGTCTGGCTTGGTCACCTGCAGCGTCTCCGCGACCAAGAAAACCTCCGGCTCGACTTTCTCGACGTGGATGCGGAACTTCTCGAAGAGGGGCTCCGCCTCGCACGACTCCAAGTCGCAGTAGAAGATGTCGATGCCCGCGCGGCCGCCGGGAAGCTTCACGAGCTCCTTGTCGTGCACCCCGAGCTCCTGTAAGTCGGCCCACTGGCCGTCCTCGCGCAGGCGCAGTTTCGTCTTCCAGTCCGCCAGGTTCTTCTTGCTCGTCAGGCCGATCATGTCGCCTGGGATCTCGAAATACTCTTGCAGGACGTGCTTCTTGCCAATACCGATCGGGATGATCCACTTCTGCTTCGCCTCACGTCGCGCGCCGCCAAGTCCCTTGAACTTCTGGCTCGCCTCGACGATGATGGGCCTCAGACCGCACTTCTCGAGCTCCGCGGCGATCTTATCCAGCCATCCGCGCCCTGCCACCGCCACGGAGGCGCCGCTGTCCACCAGGGTGGCCGGCACGATCGTGCTCGAGATCATCGCGTCCACTTCTGGTACTTCAGGTAGGATCGGGTCGCTCTACACTTTGACCAGCATGATGTCGTGCTCGGCTGGCTCCTGGAACTTCTCCGTCGAAGGCTCCGGGTCCTGGACGTCCCTCTGGTGGAACATGTCCGGCATGACGCGCACCAGTGTGGTCATCGCCCAGAAACCTAGCCGTCGTGGACGTGATTGAGCCTTCGAGGTCTTGCCGCGGCCCTTGAAGCCCTTGCCTGCCGGCCGCGGAGGTCGCGGCGTCGGGCAGTCTGGCGTAGCGCGGTCCATTCTTCCGCAGTTGGTGCACCTCTTGTCTTTGGACTTACCTTTGCCGCAGTCCTTGCCCTTGCCGCCTTTGCTTCCTCTCCCGGCTGCCTTGCCACCGGCCGCCGCGCTCTCGTCCACTACTCCATCGATTCGTCCCTTCAAGAAACCTCGAGCCGCCCGGATCTTGTTCATCTCCAGCCTGCTCTCGCGCAGCATGGCGAGGGCCTGCTGGTACACGTCATCCTCGCTCGCGAGGTAGACGTCGGTGTCGTCCTCGATGTAGAACATGTCACTGCTGTCCCAGTTGTCGTCGTCCTCCGCGAACGCGTAGACACCGTGCTCTTCGCCCCGCTCGTGCCAGCAGCCGTCGTCGTCCTGGACCCAGTGCCCGTCGTGCTCGACGTTCTGGTCCTCATCCTCCGGGTCGCGCTCGCCGTCGTTGTATCTTGCCCATCGCCAGCTCGTTCTCGCTCCCTGTCGATCACTGTGCCGACCTCCGCCTCGCGGGAAGAGGTTCTTCAGCGTCGTGCTAATCTTCTGGAAATTGAAAACCTCATCTGCTGGTGTTATCACTAAGTTGCGCTCGTCCTTGTCGAGTCCACTTCTCTTGAGCGTGCGGTACCCTAGCTCGTTCGCACTGATCTTCGTGTCAGGGCCCACTTCCTCGAGGTTGCGCCTCGCCACCTCCATCGCTGTGCAAAACGCCGCCATCGGCTCTTCGCCCTTCTTCTCGAAGTGAGTCTGGTCGAAGAAGGCGTCGAACGCCTTCGGAAGCTCCCTGAAACTGCGCTTGGCGAAGCGCTGCTCCTCGAGGAATCGTAATAATATCTGGGCGCCGTCCTCCGTCGCGTAGTCCTTGGGATTCGTCTGCTCGATCAGCACGCTTAGGGAGTTGTCCGCGCCCAGCAGGTTCTTGCACAGCTTCGGACCGAGCGCCTGCTTCGACTCCTTGTTCTCGCAGCTCAGCTCTGCCGCCTGAACTGCCCTCTTGTATCTGGTGAAGTCCTTCAACGTCTCGCCCTTCAGCACCGGTAACTTCGGGTCGACCGCGCTGTTATACTCGGCCATGTCGCACGTAGTCTCCGTGTTCGTACTCCCTGGGATGGCTAATCCCAATGTCCTCTATGTCTGGAGCAGTGGGGCCAACCACTCGCGAGGTTCTGACTGGAGCTCTCCCTCGCTCGATCCTCCGCGTCGGCGAGGTTAGTCCCAGCTCGAACTCTGTTCGCTCTGCCGAAACCTCGATGGCTCCTCTACCCCGCTGCTGCTGCTGTGGGGGAGGGAAGCCGCCTTCATTGCTCGAGCCCAAGCGCCGGCGCTGCATACACGCATGTTCGTTACTTGCAACATCCTAGACTCCCAGGGCAAGTCCTCCAGGAATCTTCAGAAATCACACTGCCTGAACGTGGTGACGTTAACCTGGCCCTTTCTTACCGGCCGGGCTAACGTCACCATATCTGGCCGTTGATCTCCGACGACCGAACTCTGGCCAGGTCGACGCCACCACGTGTCGCATTAGGAGTTCCAGTGGTACATCCCTGCCGCCGCACGGCCCAGGGGGGTCGTCCCTCGTGCTGGGCTTTGCCGCGAGAATGTCGGGGTGCCGAAATCGTCCCCTGGGTTGCCGCCTGGCCGTCGGCATCTTGCTGATAGGAGGTCCATGTTTTCTGTTGTATTTGTCGCATCAGAAGCTGTTGCCCTCCTCGTGGCGTGCTGATCCTCCGCCGAGTATCGTCGCACCACAGTTCTCGCCTCGCTGGCACTGGCAGGGCGGGCAGGCTGCTTCGAAGTGCAAGGTTTGGCCTCGCCGTGTGGGCTCATCCTTCTGGTACAGATGTGCGTTGATACTCGCGTTTCCGCCTCGCTGCTGGTGCACGCTGCTGGGGTTTGGTTCGTTCCCCTCTGCCCTGCCCCGTCTGGGGCGTGAAGATTGTCGCCCGACGTGGCTACCTTCACATGGCCCTTCCTTCCCCCCCCCCCGTGCCGCCGCTGCTGCCCTCCCCCTCCTCCCCTTGCCTCTCTCGCCGCCCCATGCCCCTCTCCCCTCCTCCTCCTCCTCCTCCCCACCCCACGCCTCCCCGCCCTCCCTCGCAGCCTCGCTGGCCGAGCCTGTTATGCCCGCCCGACCGCCCGGCGCCCTGTCCCACCTGCAGGGGGATCGGCCCCTGCGCAGTGGGCGGGCGGCGAGGCTCGCCCAGCGCTAGGGCCGGCCCCGAAGGGAGCGCGACGCTCGCTGCGCCTGCCCGTCCCGTCCCGGCCCCTCCGGGATGACTGGGGGACCCGGAGCCCCCGATTTGAAACAGGCGCATCCCTGGTGGGCCCAAGCCCGCTGCCCCCGCCGCGCTGGCACACAGGCCCTCCGGGGTGGCGGCACTCGCGGCGGGGCGATCAAAGCTCCGAGGGGCCCTCCTGCACTTCGACAGTCCATTTGACAGTCCATCCTCCCTGGCCTCCCCGACACTGCACCCTGCCCCTGGGGCCTCGGACTCCTCAGGGCCTCCTCCTCCTGCTCCTCCTCCTCCTCATCCTCCTCCATTCCTTTTCCTTATAAATAACTCCTCCATATCGCACCCCGAGGCTGGTCGAAAGGAAAGGGCGGGCCAGGCGTTTCGCGACTGAGACTTCCTGGTCACGTATGACCCTGATGCTAAAACACATTGACGACAACTTCACAAATTGAAGGCGGCTGGTTTAAAACATGTGGCTCTCGTTTTAGCCCCGCGCACTTTCGCTTGTATGAACAGCTGGGAGAGCTTCACGGATTGAGGGCGGCTGCTTTTCAGAATGAGGCTCTCGCCTGAGCGCCGCGCACATTCGCTTTAAACATTTGCCAGAGGTTCAATGATTATCATGGTTAGCGTCCCAGAAATGAGGTTTTGGAGCGAGTCATGATTGGTAGGGCGCAGCGGTTACGTTGACTCGCGGTGCTAGAGTCCCAGGAACGGCGTTCTGGCACGATTCCGGATCGCCAAGACGTAACAGTCAGGTTCACTCGTGGCGTTGGAATCCTGCGAATCGTGTTTTGGCACGCTTCGAGATGTTCACACGGTTCTCCCCCAACGGGGCACTTCCCAAGTGGAGATGGCCCCTTGTAGGGGCCCATGGAGAACGACCTTGGAGGGAGGGCGTATTTCAACATCGTTGGTGAGTCCTGGGTTTACACTGGTCCTCCTCCCTCTCCTCCCCGTCATCGATGCCCGATCGTTCACTCCCTCCTGACGGGGCATGCCGTGGCGCGCCTCCTCCCCGACCACAACGCGGAAGTCGTCGTGATGTGCGTTCTCGACGTTCGCCGGCGTGGCCTGACCAACGGGGGCCCGGGGGGGAGGAGGCGGCCAGGACGTCATGAGGACGAAGAGGCCAGCAGGCCAGGGAGATGGGAGGGGGATGGAGGACGCTGCGGGAAGAGGGAGGAGGAAGAAAACAACGGATAGGACGACGAAATCGAGGAAGGGGAAAACAACGGGAGGAGGAGAAGGAGGAGGAGGGGGGTGGAGGAGGAGGAAGATGAGGAGGAATGGAGGTGGTATTGGAGGGGGGCAGGAGGAGGAGGAACAGGAGGAGGAGGAGGAGGAGGAGGGGGAGGAGGAGGAGAGAAAGGAGAAGGAGGAGGAGATGAAGAAGGAGGAGGAGGAGGAGGTGGAGGGCGGCGACGACGGGGAAGCTGAGGGGGCAGCCTCGTCCTGCGCCTCACCTGGCGGCCACAAAAGCTTCTCTCAACGGAGCCACAAGTGGGACGGGGAGAGGGCGCAGAACTCTAGGATTCTAGGTTGGCCTCGCGCGCGCCCCGAAAGGGCGCGAGGTCCAGGCAGAGAGAAGAGCGGCAGCCACCGAAACGACGGCGACGACGAAAGGCGAGGACGAGGACGACTGACAAACCGCAGCGACCTCGGACGACGACGGCGACGGCGGCGGCGACGCGACGAACGACAACGGCCAGTTACCCGCAACCGTGGTGGAGCACCGCCCCGCCCTGCGTGGCGAAGAGGCGAATGCTCACAAGCGCTGCACTCAGAGACGAGATCACTTCTAGATCGCACTCTCCAGAAGTTGTTATTGCTCTTGCCCTTGTCCTTGACAGTAGCGCGGCAAGTTGTCGACGAGGAAGCAGCAGGAAATGCCCACGAGCCTGCTCCTGCAGCCCACGGGTCGCCAGCCGAACGGCGGGCTGCAACCTCGACAGCGAGACCCTCCTTCATGTCATTGCCAGTGCCAGCAGATACGCGAGCAGGAAGCGCAAGAGAACGAAGCAACCTGGCACGAGCAGCGCCCAGCCTGGACGGCTGGCACTCCATATGCGACAGAAGGGCGCCTATGCCGGGCAGCAGCTGCTGTACGGCGCGTGCCTGCGAGCGCAGGGACAGTGCACGGCGCTCAGCTGCCTTGAGCCGCGGCCGACCAGCGGTGGCCCATGACAGAGGGGTCATGGTCGGCGAGGGCAGCGGACGGAGACCGCCTGGCTTGCGCCAACTCGCACCTCCTAGAAGGAGCGATCTGAGCTGGCGTTTCAGCCGAAATTGCCTCGGAGGGGCAGGGGAGGATAAAAAGAGGGAGGACGAGGAGGACAAGGAACAGCAAGAGGAGGGCAAGGGCGCCGAAGATGACGACGACAGGGCAAGGAGGAGCAGAGGGAGCAGGAGGAGGAGAAGAAGGACGAGGGGGAGGAGGAGGTGTCTGAGCCCGTGCGCTCCTCCCTCCCTCCCTCGAAGGAGGAGGAAGACGAGGAGGAGGAGGAGGAGGAGGAGGAGGAGGAGGACGGCCTATACGACTAGCTGCGCACCTCCCCCCGCCTTCCCTGAGAGGGACGACGGGATGACGGCGACGACGATGACGTTGACGACGAGGCCCCCGCGCCTCGAGCATGCAGCCAAAGCCGCGCCCCGCTCTGGTGTGCGCCCGTCGAGGTGCTGTCGCGGGTCTGACAGCACGCTGCCCAGGCACATCCTGGTCATCGTCGTTGCCGGAGGGGGTGAGGGAGGGATGTCAAGCTCGCCGTCCTCCTCCTCCTCCTCTTCCTCCTCCTCCTCCTCCCTCTCCTCCTCCTCGTCGCCCCCCTCTTCCCTCTTGCTCCTCCTGCTCCCCCGCCTCCTCCGCCTCCTACTCCTCCTCCACCTCCTGCTCCTGCTCTCGTTCCTCATTGTCCTCCCCCCGAAGCTAAGAAGGAGGTGCTGTCGAGCCTGTCACGGAGGCTGCCCCCCAAGATCGGTTTTCGTTTCCCTCACGTAGGAAGCAAATAACTGCCCAGGCTTGACCTCGCCCCCACCGCCTAAGCTGGAGTATGAGAGGAGGCCGTCTCGAACCAACGTCGACCATCTCTGACAGGCACAGGAGCATGAGTGGAGGAGGGGCAGGAGGAGACAACGACGTGGAATCGGGCCGCAGAGCAGTCCGCGTCCTCACCAAGCAAGACGTTCAGGCTCAGCAGTAGCCCTCCCAATCCGAGGGTGAAAGGTCTTCGCCAGAAGGCGCCTTCGACCGACCCGTTAACTGCGATGGCCGCCAAGGTGGCCGCTTGCACGACCTCTAGCTGCCCGTCGAGCGGGTCCCCCCTCTCCTGGGGCAAGCCCGAGAGCATGCGCAGGCGAGCCCATTCGAGACATTCTCGGAGGAGCTCCTGCAGGACGGCTTCAAGCAGATGAGGTGAGGCACGGCGAAGGGCGCGGAGCAGCTCGGCAAGATGGGCCCTCTTCGGCAAGCCCCCTTCGGGGAAAATGTAGCTCGCTGGTCTATCTCAGAAGATCGGGGACCTCGTCTTTTGGCCATGGCAGCTGCTCGGGGCGCCGGTCTCTCTCACGCAGAGGGCCTCTGGGGACGACATGGCCGCTGGCATGCGTAGTTCTCAAGCTTTGCTAGGCTCTGGTCGACATGCCGAAGCGAGGACCCATCAGAAAGGCAGGCTGGCGAGACGCTGCGATGGCTGGATTCTCGGTGCTGCGAGAAGCTTCGCTCTGCGGCAACAAAGGCGAGACGGTCGCATGACGGTCGGTCATTATTTGGGTGTGGCCAACATGTTGTAAAATACCGAGGGTTCACACCCTCGGCGGGACATCTTACTTGCGACGAGCGTCAGGTCAAGACCTCACTCCACGCGCCTTGACGCAAGAGATGACGGTCCACATGGCGGCGTGGTGGCTGGGAGACGGAGATCGGTACGGAGAAGCTGGACAACTTGCAAGTTGGAAACTACCTGATAATGGAAGTGCTGGCAGAAGCTGGATGGAAGTCGAAAAGGGATCGACTGGGCTGCAAAAGCTAGAAGGGGGACTGGCCAAGGCTGAGAAGTGTGGAAGGGCTGGCCCTCGCCACTTCTTTACAGCTTCCCTGTAGCCGGGGGCGTGGAGCCCTCCGAGGAACATGATCACAGGGCTCGGTGACGCCATCCTCTTCGACATGGGGCTCTCGCCTCAGCGCCGCGCACATTCGCTTTATGAGCTTGCGACAGCTACAAGGATGGAGGGCGGCTCCTTGCCAACATAGAATTATGGCGTGAGCGCCGCGCGTATGGGTCTCAACAGCACATAGCAACTATGAGGATGGAGGGCGGCCCCTTCTCAAAATCAGACATCGCCTTCGCGCCACACATGACCGTCTCGAACGTTCGTAGACACTACAAGGATGGAGGACTGCTCTTTTTCGACATGCTGCTGCAGCATCAACCCCCCTACGCTTAATGGCCAAATGGCTGAACACATGGAAGGACACATGTACCGACTGGACGGATGGAGAGTGGTGTCTTTTCGAACTGGGTCTATCGCTTGAAACCTCTACAAACTCAATTACCATAACCGTGAACTTGTGCGCCAACTGCCCGAACCTGGGAGGGGCGGCCCCGCTTCCAAACCGGGCTCTCGCTGGCCACACCGTTCGCCTTCCGGATCCCTAGCTAATCGGATGTCTCACCACTCGCTAGAAGCCTTGCGTCTCCATCTCAAGACGGGACTCTCGCTGGAACGGCGGTCCCATCGGGTGTGCATCTTTCGAAGGAACGCTACTTGGCGTGTAGAAGCGGTATGGGCTAATGAGGAAGGGACTTGGTACGGAAGGTTGCACTGCATCATCCTTGATGGGTCCAGGGTTTCCAGTTCTTTCTCCTCCTCATCCTCCTCCCTCATGAGCGGGGTTCCAACTTATGCTCCGCATTCCTTCTCTTCCTCCCTGGCTCCCTCCTCCCCGCCCTCCTCTTCTCCGCTCCCTCTTCTGATCCCCGACACCTCATCCCCATCCCCTCCCCCATCCCGAAGCGTCCGAGAAATCATCCCTCATCCTCCTTCTACTCCTCGTCCCTCTTCTTACTCCTCCGCTCCCACGTTTCCTCCTCCTCCTCCTCCTCCTCCGCCTCCTCCTCCGCCTACTCCTGCTCCTGCTCCTGCTCCTGCTCCTGCTCCTGCTCCTCCTCCTCCACCTCCTCCTCCTCCTCCTGCTCCTCCTCCTCCTCCTCCTCCTCCTCCTCCTCCTCCTCCTCCTCCTCCCCATTTCGGGGCGATTGAAGCCGCCTCATCCTTCTGGTCCTCCTCCGCCTCGAGGGCCCCTCTTCCTTGCATCCCCCGACCCCGCCCCCGCGCCTTCCCACACCCCGCTCCCCACTCCCATTGAGGCGATCGACAATGGAGACCGAGGCGAACCCGCCGTCCTTCGGCGGGGTCCAGCGCGGCTCGCGCCCCGCAGGCGCCTGCCCCCTCGGAGAGGGGCTCGAGCCGAAAGAAGGCACGAGGAGAACGTGGATGAGGAGGAGGAGGAGGAATCTGACGCTGCGGGCGTCACGCCGCATACCTTAGCCAAGAATAGAGGAGGAAAACGGGGAGGAGGAGGAGGAGGAGGAGGAGGAGGAGGAGGACGACGACGACGACGAGGCCCAGGAGAGGGCGGTGAAGAAGAGAACGACAGCCTGAGGCAGAACATCCGACTGATTACCCTCAAACTTACCTGGCTGCCTTTTCCCTGGAGGACGTCGACGAGGAAGAGAACGAGGACGAGCACAAGGATGACGACGAGGCTCAGGCGAGGACGATGAGAATGAGAAGGCGGAGGCAGGCCTGGGCACGACGAGGACCGCACAAGGACAGGGAGGAGGTCGCGAAGGAGGCACGGACACGACGACGACAACTCGGCGAAGATGGGGAGGATGCACTTTCGAGGATAGAACTGTCTTCAGCCTTCAGGCGCTCAGCAGGAGGAGGATGAGGAGGAAGAAGAGGTGGAGGAGGAAAACGAGGAGGAGGAGGTGGAGGAAGAGGATGAGGATGAGGAAGAGGAAGACGAAGAGGAGGAGGAGGAGGAGGGGGAGGAGGAGGAGGAGGAGGAGGAGGAGGAGGAGGAGGAGCTACCCCCTGTCCTGGGGGGATGTCCGGGGTCACGGTTGCCCTTTTCCTCCCCCTTGTCGCACCCCCACTCAGGACATTCCCTCTGCCCTCCTGTCCTCCTCTCCCCAGTGGCGGATCGCCGCGGGGGGGGGGGGTCGTGGCGGCCTCTGTTGACAGACCGCAACGCCGTCAGAGCCGGGCCGAGGAGGATCTCAGGGAGGACGCCAGGTACAGGGTCCGGCCACCGCGCCCCTGCCCCCCTGGGGATGGATGCAGCCTGCTGCGAGCATTGGCCGTCATTGGGGTGGCGGCGCAAAGCGTTGGAGGGACCGGCGGGCACCCATGTAAAGTCCGTTCGGACCGGCTTCGGTCCCAGTAGGAGGCGTACCACCACCCGGCCCCGCGACGCCGGATTCTCTGAGAGCGCGCCCGCCTGCGCGGAAGCCCACGGGGCCCGGCTCACAAGTGCGGGGAACCGGCGGCGCGAGATTTCTCGAATTATGGGGCCCCGCGGAGCGCGGCACTGCTTCACGAAGTAATGGCGGGGTTCAGCCGTTCCGCGGCGCGCCGCCCAACCAAGACGGCACCAAGAGCCCGCCGCCCACCAACAAGATACAGAGAGCCCAGATCGTGCCTCAGGCTTACTACTAAACACGCGGTTGGGAAATCGACGGCCAAACGCCAAAGGAGGCCCCCTGCGCTGCTTCAAAGAGCCTGCGGCCTGCAGGGTCAGCAGTCACGCGGAAAAAATTGAACGGGCGCGGCCCCAACTGATTCTCCCAGGGAGGGCCCGCGATAAGGTCGTAGGTAACTTCCTCGTGAGGGCCGCCCCGACTAAAACCAGGGGGCCCCATGGCCGATCACCCAACGGGGCACCACCTACTGCTTAACTCGCCCGCCAGAAGGGCAATCCCGATTACACTACGCACAAACGGAAACCCGCTGGTCAACCGCCTGGAGGCTACCCTCCCGTTCAGCAACCTGCCGCGGGCCGGGCAGTCCAGGACGGGATAATGCTACGCCGCTCGTCGGCGCACTGGTGTTGATTTAATACCTCATATCCATGATAATCATAGGGCGGGGGTAATAACGCTCGGGGGTCGGGGAAGATAGTACATTTTTCGTCCAAGCAACTCGTATGCGCGATGATATGTTAGCATGGCGTGGCGATACCCTGCTCGCTCTGGCGGGGTCTCGGTACCCTGCCTCCGTGGGGCCCACAGTCCCCGACGCAGTCTCCCTGGGGCATAGGCCTGGGCGCGTCCAGGCGGGTGCCCACCTCTCCCCCAGGAAGATGAGGCCCGCCACCACTGGGACGACGCCCACCATCAAGGGCGTCGCCATGGCAGAGTTCAGGGATGTACCCCTTCGCGCAAAGCACGCAACCAGCTCAAAGCCAGATGGCTGCAGGAAGGAGGTGGAAGCAGACGAAGAAAAGCGGGCAGGCCACACGGGGAACGCGAAAGTTTGGGGGTATTGGAGGCAGCGGGGCGGTCAGGAAAGGGGAACGAGGCCAAATCCGTGCAACACCTGTCTCTAGACCCCTTCCGGGCTCCAACAGCACTAGCTTTCGGAACCGCGTCCAGCCGTGGCGACGAGAAGCCTCCCGGGAGGTTCCATAGGGATGGCCTTCAGGCGGGCGCCCTGGAGCACACGAGTTTACTCGAGCCAAGTTGGGAGCGACAGTGCCTTGGAGAGCCAACGTCAACACGAGGAAGAGTGAGCGAGGGCCACCGAGCCTCTCTCGGGTTCCCCAGGGGGCAATCAAAGTGGACATTCGAACCTGTCGAGGGATGCGTTCTGGCCAGAGTGTGAAGGAGAATCCAACTGTGGCCACGCGGGAGCCCCAGGAGGGCCAGGGACGCCAGGAAGCCTCGACCCCCGATCGCCGGCCCCCCCCCCTCCCGGGCCGCGGCGCCACGCAAGGATGGCAGGACAGAGCGCATGGTCAGGCAATGGCACCTCGCCGTCTGGCGGCCGCAGCTCGGCGCGAGGGAGCGAGGGCCCCCGCCGTCCGCTGTAGCGGGCGCACGCCCAGCCGCGGTGACGACGAAGGAGGGTGCGCTGTCCTGGGATCGGCGCAGGCCACGCCAAGGCAGGGACAAAATGGGGGATCTCTGGGATCCGGCGCTTCTGGAGGTTTGTACCGGGCGCCGCGGCCGTTCCAGAGCGCTCCAGGGAACTCTGAGGGCGCCCCAGAGCGCCATGGAACGACCTATTCTGGACCTGTCCCCGCCCGGTCAACGCATCAGGGAATGGACGCAAATGTGAGAACACGCTGGAGCCAATCGTCTCCGTCACAGTGAGGAGGAAACACCTGGAGCCCAACGTCTACAGCTTGTTGCAGTGAAACGACCGCGCGCCTGGGAACGGAAGCCGATGTGAGAAGGAGCAGGAGCCAAACGTCTTCAGCGCACGTAGCGTGGAGGAGGCAACTGAAGCCCAACATCTCCAGCTACAGCTGTGGAAACCCAACTGCAGGAGAAAAAACCTGCTGCGAAGCCCAAGAGCACAAGCCACAACATTGGGATCAGGAGGAGCGGGAGGGTAAGAAGGCGAAAGAAACGGAGGATGACGAGGAGGAGGAGAAGGAGGAGGAGGAGGAGGAGGAGAACAGAATGCAGATTTCCGCACCCGCTTCCACCTCGCCTCCCTCATGCCCCTCCTGCTTGGACTGCACATCCTCCTCCTCCTCTTCATATAGGGCAACGACAAGGGGGGGACTGGCTCAGGGGGGGGTCATCGACTGGGAATCGCCGATACGACGCCGATAGATCGGCGATAAACCCCCAATCGCGAACCCGGACGTTCCTGAACGGGGCAGGCTAGCAGGCCCCAACTGGCGATCGACTCGGGGTCGATGCATCCCCCCCTGAGCCTACGTATCCCCCCATCGGTGCCATGAATATACCTCCTCCTCCTCCTGCACCTCTTCGCCCTCCTCTTCCTCCTCCTGCTGCGTCTTGAGCTTCTTCATAATCCTCACCTAAGCTGCATCGCAAAGAGAGGCGAAGTCGCGCACGCGACGGGCAGCTACTTCGCGGAGCGGCGGGTCCTTGCCAGCCTGCGACCTGCAGGCAATCGCCATCCGGCTCCTCATCCTCCTCTTCCACAGGATCGTCGTCTACCAATTTCTGCCCTTGTTCGGTCTCCCCATCGCCTTGATCCTCCTCATCCTCCATTTTCTCTTCTCGTCCTCAACCTCATCGCCTTTTTCCTTCTTCTCCTCTGGCTACTCCTCCTCCTGTCGTTCCTTGTCCAACTCCTTTGGTTCCGTCCTTTGTTCACAACGCTCACAGACCATGAGCGAAACCCGAAACAAAAGCACTGCTTGGGGGAATAGCTTGCCAGCGCAACGGACCACAAGCGGGTTAGACCTGCTCAGCACGGAGACAGAGAGCGCATATAATTTCAGAGCGTCAAGGATCGCTGGCTTTCCCGAAATTTCTCTTCGTTCCCCTCTCCCCTCGTCCTCTTCCTCCTCGCTGCTGCTGCTGCTGGTGCTGCTGTTCCTGCTCCTGCTCCAACTCCTGCTCCTCCTCCTCATCATCATCATCAACAACAGCATAATTCGTCTCCTCCCCGCTCCTGCTCCTCATCCTCCTCCTCCTCGCTCCTCGCTCCTCCTCCTCCTCCTCCTCCTCCTCGCTCCCGCTCCTCAATCTCCTCGCTCCTCCTCGCTTCTCGCTCATCGCTTCTCCTCCTTATCCTCCTCGCTGCTCCTCCACCTGCTCCTCCACCTCCTCCTCCTCCTCCTCCTCCTCCTCCTCCTCCTCCTCCTCCTCCTCCTCCCCTCCTTTTTCCTTATAGATAATTTCTCCCTGTCGCACCCCGAAGCCAGTTTTTAGGGCGGGCGGGGCGTTTCGCCTGAGACTTCCTTTCCATGTATTACTCCGCAGCTTAAACATGGGCAACAGCTTCACAGATGGAGGGCGGATGGTTTTCAAAATGTGGCTCTCGCCTTAGCACCGCGCACATTCGTTAAACAAATTGCAAGGGCTTCACAGATTGAGGATCACCCCTTTTCAAACTGTGGCTCTCGCCGTAGCGCCGCGCACAATCGTGTTAAACATTTGCAAGAGCTTCACGGATTGAGGATAACCAATTTTCAAAATGTGGGTTCATAAAAATTGCAAGAGTTTCACGGGTTCCCCCGATCAACGAACGTACCAGAAACTGTGTTTCGGAAGGATTCTGGATCTTGCGGGCGCAACAGTTACGTTGAGTCGCGGTGGTGAAATCCCGAGAATGGCGTTCTGGCGCGATCCAGGATCGTGAAAGCGCAGCAGTCAGGTTGAATTGTGGCGCTGTAATCCCGAGAACAATGTTTGGCATGCTTCCGGGTCTTCAAACGGTTGTCTTCCAACGAGGCAGACCCCTCAATGGGAATGAACCGTTGTAGGGGTCTATGAAGAAGGAGCATGGAGGGAAGAGGGTATATTCCAAAATCTTTGATGGCTCTTGGATT